TGCCCCCGGGTCTCATGAGGACTATTCCTACCAGGTTGCGGGTTGGAAAAAGGACGGCGTCCTTTCTGTAAAAGCAAACCATTGCTGCCCACCCTTTGCCATGCGAACGGACTTTGGAGCCAAAGGCTTTGGCTGAGGGAACTAACCGTCCCTTTGTCTAGGTTTGGGCGCCCTGGCAGTACTTCAGCCCACGTACAACCATGACTTTTATTTAAACTTCAACCAGATCCTGCATCGGTCTTCGCGCAGCTTGTCAAGGGTCACCTGTCGTGCTGCATACAGCAGGTCGGGTAAGCGAAAACATGTCACTGCTGGCGCCTCACTTCTTTCATTTCCACCTGTCCCTCTTACTTCTCTCCCAACCTCCATTACTAACCCTCCTTCCAGAGTTCCCAGCTTAATGAACAATAGCCGCATTGCCATTGGAGTCATGTCATCTGCAGCTACCTTCCCGCACAACGCACTGGACGCCATTCACTAACAACTCCTTATGAAGCCACAATGTCCCGTTTTGTTGGCGGCGTTCAACGTTCTCACCCTGAAACAAATAAGTCAACAGGCTGCATTCGCACGCACTTTGTACGCTTGTTGCGTATCCGAAACTAGGATCAATGATCCTCACGGGGTTGTTGAATTTACTGCGCCCGACTTGACCTCTCGCTGTTGGTTGCACGCTTCCGGATACGCTGATTCGACAATCACTGGTAAAGTTGGAGTGGGCATCATTATCATCTCCAAGACAGCCTCATCGTTGGTTGATTGTATTCCTGTGAGCAGCCGTTCGTGTGCAGCCCGTAAGACACGTACAACTAGTATTAATAAAAGAAGTAGCGCTAAACGCTGTTTGTTTGTGGTTCCCGATTATTCCCCACTGACTGCAGTTCTGATGCTGTCAGACACATGTTTTACCACAAAAGGAACGCGCTGCTTCGCAACAATACCAGTTCAGATATTGTTATTGCTGCAGGGGATAGGAATGTGCAAGTAGGGTGTCTCAGCTCTTCAGAAGCTCAGTTAGATGGTAATTATGGGCTTAACTCCGAACGGACGGACAACGGAGAGCGCCTTTTGCAATTTTACGCAAAGCATCAACTGTTTCATAGTAGCACAGCTTTTAGACACTGTGTGCACCGAAGAGCCACTTGGCTTTCTCCTGTTATTGGCCAGCGATGGACCCAAATAGATCATTTTGTCATAAGCTACAGGTGACGTCGTCCCATCCTGGATTGTCACTCGTTCTGGAGTACTTGCGTCGACTCTGATCACGCCTTTTTTGCTGTTGTTTTTCCATAAACTTTACTGGGATGCGTAACAAGCGTCTCCCTTGATTGGAAATTTAGAGGTTATCTCACACTTTGGTCAGGCGAGCCTAACAGGACGCCCTGAGTACCGAAATTTCGCTCTATTGACTTAAAGATATTGGGCTTTGTCAGAATTGGTTCTCCGCCATCATGCACGACGCAGAAGCCACTGCTAGCGGCGATATCAGTCTTCACCCCACCATTCACTGGATATTCGAGAGGAATATATATATATATATATTCGAGTTGGAATCCAGAAGAAATCCTTGGCTAGCTCTGCGCAGTGTGAACAGACGGGATATTTGACGATGGCTAGATCGGAGTTCGGTACTGACTAGGAAGCCTGCTGGACCTACAAAATCCCCCTACTGCTTACAAATCGAGGAGGCAGGAGTGATAGGCAATTATCCTAATCTCTACCAACTGATCCGCACTACTGGTCTAGAAATTCAGGCGTCAGGAAGACATTCGGAGATAATGCTGGTACCCTGATTCACAATAAAGAGCGCCGGCTTGTACAGTGGGCGGAGCACTTTCGACGGTACTTTAGTTGGCTCCTTGCTTCCGGACCCCTTCCTACTCAAGCGATGCAGGATGAGCCATGGCCAGTTAGTTTAGAGACTCCATCAGAGGTTGAGGTCCAAAACACGATCACAACCCTCAATCAATTTCAAGCTACTAGCCTGGATTCCCTCTCACTCGCACTATTTTAGGATGAAGGTGTGGTTATCTGTAAAGTACTGACCTCCCTGTTGGAACGTGTCTGTGAGGAAGAGACCATCCCAGGTAACTGGACTGAATCAATTATTGTAGAACTATGCGATGATAACAGTCGTACTGACTTTGATAACTACAGGGTACTAGCCCAACACCGACTGTAAAACTAATAATGCCTCAGTTCTTGTTCGTCGCCTCACTGCGGAACGGGAATCACGGATAAGAAAAAAGCAGACAGATTTCCGTTTAGAATGGAGCCGCGGCAGGTGCTAGCGAAGCGCCCCACATACCGAAGACCGACAATAGCTGTGTTCATCGACTTCAAGAGTGCGTTCGATTCAGTAATCGATGCATTCCGTTCGAAACACTTGTGCGCAAAGATGTTCCCATGAAATATGTGAACATTTCACATGCTCTGTACTCGAGCACCACAGGTTGTGTCAGGATCTAAGTGACTTATCTGATATCTTTCTGATAACAAGTAGTGTTCGTCAAGGTTGTTCAATTTCTTTGTGGACTGCGTCATGGAGTGTTCCCTTGCGGAGTTTCACAATGCGAACTTTGAGATGCTGCCTGGTGAAAAACCAGTTGATCTTGGTTATGCAGACGATGTCGTCTTGTTGTTTAACAGTGTTGGGGCGGCGGAATGAAACCTGTATAACCTCCGTAGGGTGGCTCCATAATTTGGTATGTGTTTCGCACCTACAAACTGATGTTGCAGGATCATCGACCACTTAATGACCCCTTGACTCGTGATGGCGAGGAACTCGAGGTAGTTGGTCACTTCACCTACCTTGCCAGCTGCATCGGCAACGATGGGTTCATAACGACTGGAGTCAGCTCACGTATTGCAAAAGCTACAACTGCCTTTTTAATCTGTGACATCTCTGGCGTCAGAAAGGGGTTTCTGTCGGTTTGATTAGCCGTGTTTACAAGCCCACGGTAAGCTTCGTCCCACTCTATAGGAGTGAGACTGGCCCCTCCCGTCTGAGGATCTGAGGCACCTTCATGTCTTTGATCATTGCTGTCTGTGGAGCAGTGCTGGTGTCGGGTGGTATTGGCGTATCCGCAACGATGTTGTGCCCAGGCGAGTGCTAGGTAGTGATACTCAAGCTGGTTCCTTAGAGCACCAGATAAGAATGAATAAGTTGCGTTGGTTTTGGCATGTACCACCTATGCCGAGGAAGGTCTTATATTGTCTGCCAGATGTAGGATGGTGCAAGGCTCGAGGTGGAAAAGAGTTAATTTGTCAGCGGGTAATGAAGTCATTGCCGAGCAGATTGGATGATGTTGGCCTGTCTCGCCTTCCAGACCTGAATCTACGTGACTCCCTTGTGCTTGGCTCGAGACGTTAAAGGACATGGTTCGCAGTCGACACGAGTGGCGCGTCTGCTGCCATCTCCTAGTCGGACTACCTTTTTGGTGCTGAGTCTCTGTAGGGTAGTGGCTGATTATGACGCGAGGCAATTAAAGCCGCAAGGAATCTATCTCACCGATGCCGCCTTACCTTTGCACGATAGCCAGCTGTTTGTGACGGTATGTTGCTAGCACAAGGAGTAAGCGCCCTGGCTCTGAATGTTTACTTAGAACACTAAGCTTTTACGCTAGGTTCCTCTTTTCTTATTCTTTTTTCGTTCCTTAGATCACAGTGGTTGTACGGCAGCGATGCATCAGTCCCAATGTTTAATGTCCGGATTTAAAGCGTGTCGCTCAGTAACTGATTCGAAAGGAGAGCTGTGAATCTATGAAATAGTCTGTCGTTGCAGCTATTTGAAGCAAAAGGCGGTGTTCAAAAAATTTCTAACAAACACTTTACCGACATACAATATCCAGAATGACCACCAATAAAAATGGCCGATATACCTAGAGCTTTTACCTGCAGCGGCACATATATCCCTTCTTTCTGCTTCCATCCAGTAATCGGTAATCCATTTTCTAATCACTGCTCTCCATCCAGCTTCCCATGGCTTGATCATCTCCACACTATGTAAAGCGGTGTCTCCCGCAGGTTATACCTAGATCCTGGCTGACCTTTGACGGCCTGTTCCAACAGCGACCAAGGGAATTAAACTCACTGTCCTGACGGGTCCATGCAACTAGGAAGTCAACGGAGTAGAATGCCTGGTTGCCACTCACCCATGCAAACGTGTAGTGTTTATCTTTGCAATTTGTTTGGTGCGTTTCAGGGCGATCAGTCTTGTTACATCGAACCCATCATCCTTCCGTTCTCTTCACGGAACTGTACCAGCCCACCTATGTACCGAACATAAAATAGGGTTGTTACCACCTGACTCACCAATCTGTGCAACTTGGTGTTTGCTAGAAAATTGTTAACTCGTTGTAACTTCCGGCTCCACCATGAGTGCCTTTCGTGTACGATACTATCTCCGGAGCTAGAGTGCACAGTGCCCGTACTTTCTAAGCAACGTCTTTTGTCAGCAGGGGTAAAAATCACAAATCTTCTTGGCCAAGTGCCCATTGGTTATTTTCTTTGGGTCGATTCACAAAAGTCGAAAGTGAACGGGGCACAAAATATAATCTTTCCACTACAGAAAGTTTTCAGGCCCAGATTATTTTGTGTTTTTTGCAACTAAATTCTGTAGCTTTTCAGACTATTTCTAAGCTTCAGTGTAAACCTAGTAATGTGAATTGCTATTCAGATAATTTCAGCGAATTTCGACATTATCGCTTTGGGATTATTGTATATTAACTCTCTGGAGTGTAATTGCTTACACTGGATAACACCGCAGTTTTTACCATTATTTGCATATAATGTTACTGTGTGTCTACTGTTATAATTAATCTGTGGCATCCTCCTAGGTCAAAAATAGGGGCTAATGTGCAATTTGGAATCGAAATATTGGCCTGCAGACGTGGATTATATCTTTGAGGTATATCCAATGGAAATCCAATTAAAAGATTAGAAATTGTTCTTTCTGCCCCAACTCATTGCTGTAACTTCTTGCCCTACTCTGTAAACAGATTTTACAATGTGACAGGGTTGGATATCGATTGCAGAAGCCAATCTGTGCCGAGATTGTTTGTCGCGTGGAAGCATTGCAAAAGAATCGCCCTGTTTTGATCACAGTGACCGGTTGGCTGTGGGCACGAACAATGTTTGATAAACACATCTCCGATGTAGACGTAAGTCACCAGTGTGTTTACCGAGACCGCACGCACATATACCTGTTTGATTTTCCCCAACTCTGTCCCCTATCCATGTTCTCTGTCGGCGAAGTCCGCCAACATCGACCCGATTCACGCGCTCTAATTAAGAATGCATGCGAACACCGTTGTCAAGTTAAATCCTCTACTTGTCCGGAATCAGGTTGTTTTCTCGAAATTCTAACCGATAGACGCGTGGACAGTTTAGTAATGATCGTAACGTGAAGCGTTGCCATGGGAATACTTTTGGTTAGAACTACCGCAGGCTTCTAATGTGCGAACGCCCACTCTTTTTATTGAATCGTGTGTCTCATAGGGTGTGTTGGATGCATCCTCGGGCTTAACACCATTCTGGCTATCCCCACGCATACAAAGATTTCGTCTATTATTAAATCAAATGATAGAACCTGTAAATCCATTAAATTTAGCCTTCCGTTGAGTTCGGAATTTAAGCAGCTTCGAGTCGCAATTTGGGTAATTTGTCTGATTGCAGACATACCGTTAGTTGACATTTAGACTGTTTAGTTAGAATCATATACTACTCCTTCTAATCAACCGTCGTACTTACATTTAATGTCTCGTCACTTTAAGAGGACCAAAATATGGTGCTTCACAAATCTTGCATAACAGGTGGAAATCGTTGGGGTCATGGACGAATGGATTTTAAAACAGTTGGCTTCACCAGCTTTCATGTGTTGAAATATGCAAGAATAAGTATTCGTGGTCAACATACATGGTATCAATTTCATTCATAAAAGAAAAATTATGTGGAATAGTTAAAACTGGCTTTCTTGATTGAGGATTCAAAAACGTCCGTTGGATCCCGTTCTCCATGAGTTCCAACACGTGTGATTAGGCGCAGACATAGGCAGTTTTGTCATCAATGGTACGCAGGGTGTCACTGGCTAACGACAAAGGTGACGAAATGTCGTGTGTTACCAAATCGTTTTCGCCACCGAAAGCACTGAATTCCTAGCCTGTTCAAGCTGTTATGGTAAATCTGGAATACGATAATAGAAATATGCCCATCGATTCTGATCAATGGTTTGAAGTTCACCGTGAGGTCCGGTTTCGACTTATGGTAAACTTGCGACCGGTAAAGCTCTGGACAGCATACACAGTCGCTCATTGCTTTCGCCATAGCCGCCGTGGCGTGTGGAACAACGCTATTTATACTACTTATGAGTAAACGGATTTTAGTCGTAATTTTATGGTATTCATCCCAGCAGCGCAAAAACCGAATAGAACCATCCCATCCGGAAAAGCACCAGCCGCGTTTCGCCCTGCCGGGATTCGACAGTGGTGCGCATCCGTCGGTCCGCCACTGGGGATCGAACCCATGACTGCTAGAGGCTGATGCCAACTAGCCATAAGTTTAAACCACTGAGCCATGGGAGGCGGTGGTTGAGCTACCTAATTTTCATGCTAACGGATATAGCACAACCTATCTTCCAGTACCACGCAGGTCACTACCTATACAGATGTCAGTGGCTAGACTCCCAGGTCATGAATTGTTTTCACTAGACGCTGTGTCCATAGCATCAGTAGTCTCCACTAGTTTCATTTGCTATGGACATAGTGTCTAGTGAGAGGACGTCATGACCTCAGAGGTTAGGCCCTGTCATCTGCAAGTGTAGTAATCTGCATAACAGTGGAAGATAGGCCGTGCTATATCCCAGTTACTTAAAACTTATGTAGCTTAACCGCTATACCCCATGGCTCAGGGGCCTAATCTGTTGGCTAGTTGGCGACAGTCTCTAGCTGTCATGGGTTTGATCCCCAGTAGAGGACCGAGGAATGCGCACCACTGACGAGTCCCAATAGGATGGAATAGTCGTGTGGCGCCTTCTTGGTTGTGTGGTGGCTGTCTGCCTGTCTAGCTACGACGAAACTCCCTCAAACAACAAATTCGGTATATTCAAGATGTTTTTGAGGATGGAAATATGATGGTTTGATAGGTACTCATAGTTCTAAGGCACATGGAGTGTAATGAGATAATATTTTTATGGAGAAGTTGCTCGTTAAATCATGCTTGTCTAAGACACATCAAGAGGTGGTTTGCTAACTGAATGCTCTAATATCACAGAAGTACTTCCATTTCTCCATATTTATTAGAAAAGTTTTTGTCCCTGCGGTTCGATGGTTGATGTTGGTTTACTTCAAGTACTCCTGGCCACTAGCTAGAGACGCTAGACGTTATCACTAGGTCTCTCATGCAAAACTCAGTCATAGCCGTGCTAAGTCAAGTTGCTTTAAAGTTGAGTAATAGCGGCCATCGTATTTTCAAAAAGCCAGTATTCAATTGGCCCATATTCCACAAGATAATACACTAGCATGAAGAAACTGGTACTCGTATTTGTCCTGATCATTAGCATAACTATTATATATCCGGCTGCGGAGCTTGCACAGTTAAACTATACTGCACCAACATGGATCGAAGACTTAGAGTACCTTAGTGTCAAATTAGCCGGTGTATAGCCAAAACGGAGTAGTTTTTGGCTAGACTACATCATGAGCGTTTCTTCAAAATCCCACAATACTGCTAAAATGCGGTCTGGCTGAACAGCAAACATAATCAACTTGCTGAATTGCCAGTACCATGGTCGATGAAGTGTTAAGTGAGCACCTCACTGGCGACAAGCTTATCTCGCGATGGGTGTCGGCGGTTCAAGTGGTAACGAAAACTTTTTGATAAATGTCCGATTTGCGTGATGTACTACAATTCCAGAAGTTGCAGATCAATCTAGCACTCATTTAATTATATTGCACTACCATTCAAGTTAATATACTCATACTCAGTATCCAAAGATTGTCACTTCATCACACTTCATAACGTTCGTCTAGGTCAATTCAATGTTCCTTACGTCAGTTTCAGGTACCCGTCTCCGCCATCCCCACCATGTGGCCGGCTGCCACAGAATACCTGCTAATTTACGGAGACTGTACGTGCTTCACGCATCCAGCGTGATCCCCAAAACGAGCGATTCAACTAGGTGATGGCGCGCAGTTCATCAACGACACTATCCATTATGGATGTAAGTGGGTCCCGGTGGCAAACCTACACCGTAAAGGCGTTTGACGTGTGTGCGGTCGATGATTGTGATCACGCATCGCCCTGCAGATTAGGATGAAAATACGCACCCCACGCACACGAAGCGGTGGCCTAACTGAGGCTCGTTCCGTGACAAAACTACCTTTTTCGCTTACTTCCAACCATAAAGTGTGCGCACATCCGTACATTCTGTCATTGCATAACCATGTAGGGAATCGAGGTACTCTACTACTGCTCCAAAGGTTAATAGCGCATGAGCATTAAGCGAACCGGACGAGAACGAGTCAGCAGCGACTAGACCGACATCCTAACACAATAGGCATGTAAATAGTCGGGGGATTTATTAGGTTTTCGTGAAGCTTTGTCGCAGTTAGACACAGGCAGACAGCCACCATACATCCAGAAAAGCACTAGACGGCCGTTTCGTCCCATTGGGACTCGTCCGTAGTGCGCATCCGCCGAATCCTGCCGGATTCGAATCCATGACCTTACTCTTGCCAGTCAGCGACTTATGTCACTGAGCCATGGGCGACGTCAGAGGACTGCCATGACTGATATCTAACTGCGATATAGTGCAGCTCATCCTTCAGTGTCTTGCATGTTTTGAATGTGCAGAGGACACGGTTGGCCCACAGAGCAACGACTGCAAGCTGCCATCAATCGAGGTGGCATGTAAGCTGCTAAGGCGACTGCTGATTATTTGTAAGTATCAGGGGGATTTATTAGGTTTTCAGGTAGGTTCGTCGCAGTTAGACACAGGCAGACAACTACCACACATCCAGGAAAGCGCTAGACGACTGTTTCGTCCGCTGCACATTCATAACATACAAGACATTGAAGGATGAGCCGCGCTATATCGCAGTTAGATATCAGTCATGGCGGTCCGCTGCCGTCGCCCATGGCTCAGTGACATAAGTCGCTGACTGGCAAGAGTAAGGTCCTGAGTTCGAATCCGGCAGGATTCGACGGGTGCGCACTACTGACGAGTCCCAGCAGGACGAAACGGCCGTCTAGCGCTTTCCTGGATGTGTGGTGGCTGTCTGCCTGTGTCTAACTGCGACGAATCTACACGAAAACAATAGGTATGCTTGGAAGCCACTGTATGTATAGCGCTAGAAAGCAATTCAGGGGTGAAGCTAGACGAAGTTTTCAACAACCGCGCTACGCAACCCAAAACGAGGGCTTTCGCAGATGGGTGATGTTGTTGTGGTTAGATATAATTCATATGGTGGATGTTTCTTGTCGCAGTGGATAACACTGCACTCCACAGATACTTGGGACGTGATTGGTAACACATCTTCTGTTAATGGTACACATGATACCAGTACATTGGGTATTTCCGAAAGTAACCTTTTGCTCGCCAATTAAGTCTTCATCGAACCCGCTGCATGGATCTCGGGTTTAGGCAACTAGGTCAAATTCATTCCTTACATTCAGTTTGGCACAACTAAGACGACGACAAACGAGCAACACCTACGTATCTACCGGTCGTTAAGAATGTGTGGTCCTTGTGTGTGGCTAAAGTCCAACATCCCTAATCCATACGACAGTCAGCATTCTCTTTCGGGTGAAGCGATTTCGTGGTCATCGAAACCGTGACAGGCTTGTTGATATGGATGAGCAACGTTATATGTTAGGTGGTCCCTAAAATGGCCATGAGACTATCGTAGACTAACCGAGTATGTGCGCGCTGTCTATTCATCTAACGAACCCCAGCATTCTTCATTTGAGCATACATTTTGACTGCGTCGTGGCTTATGTAACAGGATGCTTGATATTTTTCACAAATATCCGAGTGACCACAAAGTGTATGCCAGCAAACAACCACTCGATTTTTCAAAGAGAGGTTACTTTCACTATCGCTGAGCCATTTTGCACATATTCCTGGGAACTTCGCTATTTACCTTTTCCAGGTATTTTAGGCACA